TTTTGTTGAATCCTCATTTTAAATCTTATTACAACCTTCCTGTGTGTTTTGTGTGACCCTCCCAATACCACTGCCCAGTTCACAGAGTGTGCCAGGTACTGTATTCTGCCAAAGTTTGTTGCTTTAAAGTAAAGAAATCTGCTTGTTGTTCATCCCTCTGTGTATTTGCATTAGTTCTGTAACTTATATTAGTGGTCTCCCCACCCCTTCCTGTGCTACAGTGTCTCACACTGTGACCTTTAGATTAGTCCCTGCAAGGTTTAAGTTGTTTTGGGTCCCCCCACCAATTTAATTCCTTTATTTGTTACTCCTGCTAATAGTGTTTGTGCTTAACTATTCAGGAACTTCTTGCTCACCTGTGTGAGGTGCCTAGATTTTGAGCAAAGATGAAGGAAATTGAAATCCCCTATCCTCCTTTTAGAAGTGAGTTTGCTTATTTTCATAGCTGGTGCTTGCTCTCTTCACATGACCCATACCAACAGGACATTAACCGAACACATACGCATGCCCTCTCCCCAGACTCTCTCTCTATCCCTTCTTAGCCCTTCTTAACAGAACCCATTTTGTTTTAATTTCATCTCCTTCCTCTTTCATATAGGGTTACCAAATGGTTTAACCAAAAATACTGAACCCCCCCCCCCTCGGCAAAAAAAAAAAAAACAGCCAAACACTGGGGAAGAGCAGAGTTGTTTGGGGAGGCGGGGGCGGGGGGGAGGAGGACCCTGAGAATTGTTAAGCAAAAAAAAATAAAATTAAAAAAAAAAAAAAAATTAAAAAAAACCAGTGTGGCCACTTTAAGAAACGTTTTTGAGGTTTTTTGGCCCTAAAAGGCTGCCGGCGGCCATCTGCCAGCTTGTCTTCCTGCTTCCTGAGGAACCATGTAAGCACCCAGCATTTTCACCTCCTGGCTGAGGAAAAAAATCAGAAAATACTGGACATTTTAGGTGTCCAGGTCAATACCAGACACCTGGCAACCCTACTTCCATATTCTCTAATGAAGTTGCTCATTTCTCTTATAATGCTATTACTTTTCAGTCATTTCTGAGGGCCACGGTGGGAGGCAACAGCGCCACCCAGAGGGAACAGCCAGCATTACAGAGTCACAGACATTGGGCTACAATATATATGATGGGCTGTGGCAGTACTTTGACTAGTGTTATCTGTGGTCCCTCTGTAAAATATGGCAGTTTAATCTTCACAGATTTAAGGTTGGGATGCCAGCCTGCCTTGCTATTGCCAGGCAGGGCAAGAAAGCATCCTTGTAAATGTCAAGAGGACTTTTTCCCTGGTGTCATGATTCAGGCTGCTGTTGAAAAAGAAAGAATTGAGAGTGGCGGGACTGTGAGAGGAAGAATCACACGGAGCAGCTCTTAAACATGATTCAGCACCATGTGGTCACATTCCTGGTGCTGTAGCACTTCAGATGGAGCACCTGCAAACAGCCGTACCAGTGTCCCAAAACTGTTTTCCATACACACCTGTCATTGCTCAGACATTTTGACCACCGCCCTGTCCCCAGCTGGCACTCACCATACTCCATACCTTGCTCCTTTACTGTCCATCTCTGCAGACTCCCCAGGCATCCAGTGCACTGTCCCCCCATCTCTGTGCAGTTTAGCTCTGATGAACTGCATCTCCCAATGCACATCACATTTAATGTCAGGGTTGCATCTGAAACATGGACCAATACAAATCTGTACACTTTTTGGGGCTTCACCTCCTCTCTTCTTCTTTCTCTCTCAAAGTGCAGATGTGTCATGCTCTGTGTGTGTGTGTGTGTGTGTGTGTGTGTGTGTGTGTGTGTGTAGTCTATGGTCGTAGGTTTTAATAATGAAATTCTAGTTTTTCAAAGCAATCTTTATTCCATTCCATCAAAGCACACCCCAGCAAAGTGACTATCATTTTAGCATTAAGTGCATAATATGGTCCAATCGCAATAACTCCCTAGAAATGCAGTGACTGCTCTCCTGTGCATGGGAACACATATTATTTACTTTCATCATCAAATTGCTGCCTCAAGGCATCCCTGATCCTTATAGCCCTTTGCTATGCTCTTCTGATAGCCCTGGTCTTGAGATCATTTTCACTCAGCTTCTAGGGTCTCAGTGGTCCAGCCCTGAGTGATGCTTTTGCCCCTCCGTTCACAAATATTATGGAGGGCATAGCACTTGGCTATAACCACAGGGATGTTGTCATCTGCCATTACAACTTCCTGAACAAACATCGCCAGCAGGCTTTTAAACAGCCCAAAGTACACTCCACAGTCATTCTACACTTGTTCAGCCTGTTACTGAAACACTCCTTGCTGCTGGCCAGGCTCCCCCATGTATGGCTTCATGAGCCACAGCATTAGGCAGGGTCTCCCAGGATAATGATGGGCATTTTGACTGCCCCCAGTGATCCTCTGGTCCAGGAAGAAAGTTTGCAACTTTCTGAATGGGCCTGTGTTCCAGAAGATGCATGTGTCATGCATGTTTCCAAACCGGCCTGCATTAATGTCTGTGAAATGCCCATGGTGTTCTACAAATACCTGAAGAACCATGGAGAAATACCTCTTCCAATTAATATACTCAAGCGAGGTAGTCTGGTGCCAGAATTAGAATGTGTGTGGCATCTATTCCCCTCCTCATTTGGGGAAGCCCATTTGTGGAAAGCCATTCACAGTTTCATGCATGTTGCCCATAGTCATGGTCTTTTGGAGCAGGACGCAATTAATGACCCTGCACAATTCTGTCAACATGTATCCAACAGTTGACTTTCCTGCTGCAGACTGATTGGCAGTGGATCAGTAGCTGTTTGACTAGGCAGCTTTCATAGTACAATCATTACATTCTTCTCCAACGGCAGGACAGTTCTCATGCTCGGGTTATTGTGCTGCAGGGTAGGGTGAGCTCATCACATGGTCCCATCTGAAAGTTCTGCAGCCCCTGCACGTCATCCCAGATTTACATCTTGATGTGATCCCACCATTCAGTGCTCATTTTGTGAGCTCAGAAGTAGTATTCTACTCTGTGAGTGCCACGAGAAATCTTGTATTGGAGCTTCTGCGTGTGGCGAGATCAGCGTCTGACTCCTCATCAACACTTTGTAGCTTAAGCAATACTGTGACAGCCATTCATGATGTGTGAGTGAGACCTATCAGCATTTTTGTCATCAGTCACAGATTCATTCTTGCAGACTGAGGAGGCAAAGTATGCAGCACAAAAGCCGTTGGTGGCACCAAATGTGGATGGAAGTGCAGGGGTTGCTATGCACTATGGGACATTGGGACAGAACCCAAACTGCCCTGCAAACTCCCTCTCCTCCCATTCCCACAAGCCTGAGCAGCAGAAGAGGAATAGATGCTCAGAGTGCACTGCACTAAATGCTGCTGCAAGTGCTCCAAGTGTGGTCAGGTTATTGCACTTGCAGCTGACAGTGTGGACACTGGCTTCACTCTGTGAGTAGTGCAGTAATTGACAGTGCTTCATATCTTCCAGACATAGCCTCAGTTTCTTCAGCAGTACAACCTATTTCTTCCTTGGTTCAGTTTTGGTCCCCTTCCTCCCTCTGTTTTTGTTGCAGAAATTACATGTTTGTTATAACCAGTAGTGGCAGGCTTCTGTTTTTACAGAGAGCGTTCCTATACTTCTGAACTTTACTGTACCTGTTCAGCTCCTCGCTAGAAGAAATCTGTTCAGTGTTTTTCTCCAGATAATGTTTGGGTTTTAGAAACTTTACTGTTCCTGAGAAGACTTGTCATCTTGCACCGTATTGTTCCAATCTACAGTAACATGCAAATCAGAGCCCATATAGGCAACTCTGAAATGTTCTCCGCTAGTTAGACTGACAGTTATCATAGTCCTTAAGTTAGAAGAAAATCTTTATTATTTCAGAAGGAAGGCTTTGAGGATTTTTTATATACAACAGTATTAAAATTTCTGCATTATCGCAGTGTCTGGATTGCTCATCTTTTAAGGATGATTATATTACTGGTGAATAAAATTGCCAAGTAGAGTTGGCAACTTCTACAAAAATTATTTTTATATAGTCTGCACCTTTTAGAAGTTAGCTACCAGGAATGTGAATTAAAAACGAAACAGGAAACTGAATTCTGAAATTATTGAATATCCTTGGTAATTGATTTTTTTCTACAAGAACCCATATCAGGTGATTTGGATTCTACATGTAAATATCTTCCAGGCAGATGAATAGAACGACTGTATAGAAAATGCATGAACTCATTTAATGAGTAAATACTCAATACATTTTCATCACAGTCTAACACCTGCTCTGGCACCACATAGTAAGCAAACCTGCACGTTAATATTGGATTAATAACCTAATGTTATTGATCCTGGTCATAATGCACAATTGAAAGATTTAAATGAGCATTGCCCATGAATGTTTATTTTGCTAGCCATGATTGAATCAATTTCTGACACTTGTTAATGCAAAACATGTTTCTTTCTCAGCGTAATTTCATTGAAATAAGTGGAGTTCCTTTGGGGAGAAATATGTCCTGGTTAATGAAGTCCCAAATACAGGAGACCCCTGCGATTCACAGAATTGCTATACATAGTACTGTAGATTCATGAGAGTCTCCCCTCCCTGTGGGGAAGAGGAACAGCGGAGGCTGAGAGCTGCGGAGAGCTCACCAGGGGGCCAAGAGCCATGGCTCCCCCATTCACAAATTTTGCCATTCATGATCATGCCAAGAATGCATCCAACATGAATGCTGAGGATTTTGTGTAGTGCTGTGTGAAATGATGGGACTCCATTCACCCCAAACTGAACCACAGTTCTTTGACTACGCATTGGGTAGTAACCAGAGGGATCAGTGTAGGTCTACAAGACTTTAGGTCTCCTGTAAATACTCATAAGAGGTGTACATGGGACTAATTTGGTGCAGATGCTTTTTCTGATCCCCCTGAATTTCATCTCTCTGTCCAGGTTATCAGTTTGAACAGTACTTTCTTGTGTAACCATGAGACTTTAATGCACTGTTTTTCCTTCTTCAGGTATTCACTTACAAACAGAGTACAATCACACATCAGAAAGTTACAGCTATGCATCAAACAAGTGTGGAGAGTGTGGAAGACATGGCAGCACTTGTAGACCTCCACGAGGGCTCCATCATGCACAATTTATTCCAGCGATATCAACAAAATAAAATCTATGTAAGTTTGTTTTAAAACAAAAACTATGAAGTTTATCCTGCATTTAATAGCAATATTTTACACTGATTTAGCACCTCCCTCCCTTCCCCTGAGTTCTTCAGATTATATACATCAATATGATTTGAAATGCATCTGTCTATGAGGTGGAGGCTGACTTCCCACCTGAAGAAAATGGAAGGAAAGTTGGGTCAAGGGCACCTGGGGAAATCCATGCAGTTTTTGAAATATATTGCAACAGATGAAGTTGACAAAAGATTTTCTGAGAGGACATAGTGGAACAATGCTTCTCTACCTACCAAGTCCTCACCTGGCCAGTATCTAGTTGAGGTGCTTCTTCTTTTCATCAGTATAGATAGGAAAGGGTGGTCATGACTCTGCAGGTGGAGAATCCATGCCATAGAAATTGGGTGGTTTTAGGAGCTTACATCTATGGAAGCAGCTGGGATTTTTCTGAAAATCTGGCCATTAGTCTACATGGAGTTTTAATTTTCTTGACTTTATATTGCAGATTTCTATGGCTAATAGAGCTTAAATTTTACTTTTTCAGCATCGATGTTGATCGCAATCTAACATTATTGTGAGCAACATAATACAGAGAGCAATACTGTCTTGTAGGCTTTTTGAATGCTTGTTTTTCATTTTGTAATAAAGTAACGTGACATGCAGAAAATGTAATTTAACTTAAATTTTCTTTCCAGTTTTTTAGAAGTACCACTATAATGTTAATTTCTGCCAAGATGCATCTCTTATTTATAAATAGCTTGAATTTAAACGAACACAGAATTAAAAACCAAAGAGCCATTACCTTTAGGGATTTCATTATCCACTGTAAAGAAACACAAACGGGGACAAGGCTGTTTTTGTTCTTTTGCATGTTGCTGCTAAAGGGAGCATTTTAATTGGTGAGCATCTTAAGTGGTCAGCATCTTAAATTTTGAGCTTGTCTTTTTAAAAATTTGTTTTGTGAAGACCTCATAATGTTTATGTCTTTTTCACAAAACAAACAATTTTGTCTAAAAAAAGATAAATCAATAAAAAAAAACCAATGCCGATGGCCCAGCACACTTGAATAATTCTAAAGACTAATAAATTGATTAGAGTGTTACTCTAATCAGTTTGTTAGTCTTTAAAGTGCCACTGGACTTCTTGTTTTTGTTGAAACAGACTAGCACTGCTATGTCTCTGAAATGAAAAACTCTGTGTATGCAAGAGAAGTAGAAGAAAATAAGGAAATTCTTTTGAGTCTTCCTTGGGATTTATTAATTTTAAAAGAGTAAAAATAAATAATTGCCTAATCATTTCCCAGTGTGAATAGATGGGATGACATTTAGTTTCTGCTGAACTTTTGAGGAGGAAAAAAACCCTTGTGGAGAATCAAGAAATAGCTATATTTAAAGAGCTGTGTTCTAATTTGTTCCTTGTCTTGTGGAAACTCTTGGATTTCTAAATATTCTAATGAGCAGTACAGGATAAATTCTTAGACAGATTTGTGTACTGTTGCTGGTAATATGGCACCTTCATTTGCTAATGCTTTTCTTTCTCCCTACAGTATTGTTTATTTTACTGTTTTGGACCTAACTGTGTCTCAAAACTCAGGCTCATTCATAGACTCATAGACTTTAAGGTCAGAAGGGACTGTTATGATCATCTAGTATGACCCCCTGCACAATGCAGGCCACAGAATCTCAAATGCAGTTCAGTAAAATTTGTACTGAAGTAAATAACTTGGCATATATATGGAGCCAGGTTCTGATACAGGAAGTAGTGCTATTCCATCCCAGCTAGAGCACTGTTTTAGTGTTGAGGATAATGAGGTAATGGGATAAGGCCTTCAGGACTGCACTTCAGATAGCAAAACATGCAGCATGGAATTCTTTGTTGTGTGGAATGGCCAGTCACAATGTGGACACTATATGCTTCATTGTAATTCTTGCTTTGGACTGGATTGTTCCTTGCACAGAACCCACAAGGAACATCCTCTTTACGTTTAAATTCTTTCTACAAGGGCCAGAGGAAGCCATAGCCTTCCTCCTCGTCCCTCCTCCCTCCTGGGTCAGGAAGGATATGGAACCATTAATGTGACTAGCCACTAGCTCAAGGGTCAGCAATCTTTTCAAACCAAAGAGCCAAACTACGTCAAAATTCAGAACAAGTGGTCAACAAAGAGCTCTATAAGAATTCCCATTTGCATGACTGAAAATATACAACGTAATATTATTGATAATTGACATAATGATTAATAATAGCACATATGAAACCTTGTACTCACAGACTTTAATGAGACTTCTGCTGCTGTATCTTTTCACATATTTGTTTCAAGTTTATATCATAACTGATCAATCCAGCTTCATGAATGCATTCAGGTTCTCTTCTGTCAGTTTTATGGCAGGGGGATGGGGATATGAGGGTGCAGGAGGTTGGGTTGAATGAGAGGCTCAGGGCAGAGGGTTTGGATGTATGATGGGCTTAGGTTATAGGGTTGGGGTGTGGGTGGGGACAGGAGTGTTCTGCCAGGAGACTGGGGTCGTGGGGGTGCAGGAGTCTGGGGATGTGGTGCTATGAGGGGCTCAGGTATATGATGGGCTCAGGGCATAAAGTTGGGGAATGTGGAGGTGCAGGACTGTTATGCCAAGGAACTGGGGATATGGGGGTGCAAGTGTCTTGGTTGGGATGTATGAGGGGCTCAGGGTTGCCGTGTGGGGGGTGTGCAGGAATATTATGACACTGTGGCCAGATGGTGGCTGTGCTCCAAGAGAGGTCTTGTTGGCCAGGCTTAATTTTTAAATAAAGTAAAATATTATGTCCAACACAAAAGTTTTCAACATTGCCTTTATGGCAGGATGGGGAACTTTTTTTTGGGTCGGGGGCCACTGAGTTTCGGTGAAGGAGGCAGTTGTGACCCAAGGAATGGGATTGGGGTACAGGAGCTTGGATTGTGAGCTAGGGCAGGAGGGGATTGTGATCTGTGGCATGGGATTAGAGTGCACAGTCTGGAAGGAGTTATGGGCTCAGGAGGGGGGGCACAGGTTTTGGGTTATGTGGAGTAGGCAGAGGGCTGGAGTGCTGGAGGCAGGCTCTGGCCAAGAGACTTAACAGTGAGACTCCAGCCCGCTCATGTTTCTTAGGAGTCTGCCCTTCTGGGGCCGGGAGCAACCATGAAGCACCACTCCCCCCTTCCCTCCGGTCTCACAGTATATGGAACACAAGTGGCCTCGCAGCAGCTTTTCTGAGCAGGGTGTGGGGCAAGCAGGGGAGTCTATCTGGGGGCTCCCTGCTGCGTCCGTGGCTTGATTTGTTTTGCACAGGCTTGTTGTAGTGCCAGCGCGGGCTTCCTGCTGTGGGAGAAGTAAGAGGGGGCTGGGTTCAAGATTCAAAAGAGCCATATCTGGCTCCCTCACGAGCCAGAGGTTGCCAACCCCTGCACTAGCGTAAGAAGGTGGCTGGCTAATGAAAGTGTAATGCATTGTACAAAAGGGAAGAAGGACAATCCAGGGAACTACAGACCAGTCAGCCTTACCTCATTTCCTGGAAAAATCATGGTAGGAGATCTCTAAGGAATCCATTTTGAAGCACTTGGAAGAGGGGAAAGTGATCAGGAATAGTGAAAATGGATTCACGAAGGACAAGTCGTGCCTGACCAATCTGATTAGTTTCTCTGATGAGATAACTAGCTCTGTCGACATGGGGAAGTCAATGGATGTGATATACCTTGACTTTAGCAAAGCTTTTGATACGGTCTCCCACAATATTCTTGACAGCAAGTTAAGGGAGTATGGATCGGACAAATGGACTGTAAGATGGATGGAAAGCTGGCTAGACTGTTGGGCCCAATGAGTAGTGATTAATGCTCGATGTCAGGTTGGTGGTCGGTATCTAGCGGAGTGCTCCAAGGATCGGTTCTAGGGCTGGTTTTGTTGAACATCTTTATTAATGACCTGAATGAAGGGACGGATTGCACCCTCAGCAAGTTTGCAGATGACACTAAGCTAGGGGGAGAGGTAGGTACATTGGAGGGCAGGGATAGAGTCCAGAGTGACCTAGATAGATTAGATGATTGGGCCACAAGAGATCGGATGAGGTTCAACAAGGACAAGTGTAGAGTCCTGGACTTGGGATGGAAGAATTCCAAGCATTGTTACAGGCAGGGGACTGACTGGCTAAGTAGCAGTTCTGCAGAAAAGGACCTGGGGATTACAGTGGATGAGAAGCTGGACACGAGTCAACAGTGTGCCCTTGTAGCCAAGAAGGCTAATGGCATATTAGGTTGCATTAGGAGGAGCATTGCCAGCAGGTCTAGAGAAGTGATTATTCCCCTTTATTTGGCTCTGGTCAGGCCACATCTGGAGTATTGCACTCAGTTCTGGGCCCCCACTATAGAAAGGATGTGGACACATTGGAGAGGGTCCAGCAGAGGGCAACTAAAATGATTAGGGGTCTGGAGTGCATGACCTACAAGGAGAGGCTGAGGGATTTGGGCTTATTTAGTCTGCAGAAGAGAAAAGTGAGGGGGGATTTGATAGCAGCCTTCAACTTCCTGAAGGGAGGTTCCAAAGAAGATGGAGAGAGGCTGTTCTCAGTAGTGACGGATGGCAGAGCACGGTCTCAAGTTATAGCGGGGGAGGTCTAGGTTTGCTATTAGGAAAAACTATTTCACTAGGAGGGTAATGAAGCACTGGGATGCGTTACCTAGGGAGGTGGTGGAGTATCCATCCCTAGAGATTTTTAAGTCTTGGCTTGACAAAGACCTGGCTGGGATGATTTAGTTGGGATTGGTCCTGCTCTGGGCAGGGGGCTGGACTCAATGACTTCCTGAGGTCTCTTCCAGCCCTATGGTTCTATGCAGGGCTTGACAAACTGCGGCCAGAGCTACTCACCAGCCCCGCACTGCGCATGCGCCACACTGGCACTGCGTATTCACGCAGCGCTTGTGAATGGGGCACATGGAGCGACCTGCTGAAATCTACTCGCCATGGGTGAATAGAATCAGCGGTTTGAGCCCT